CGACACCCCAAGTGCACAAATTTTTGTGCACTGGGCCTCTAGTTAATAATAAAACACTAAATAATCTCAAAAGGGATCACACAAAATTTTAAGGTAATTGCCAGAACTAATTTTTGTATAATTTCCTCAATTCATAGAATTCATTCATTTTTCCATATTTAATGACCTCAAAAGGGAACTCTCAGCCATATTTGTGTGTGTGTGTGTGTGTGTGTGTGTGTGTGAGCGTGTGTGTGCGTGGGCACATTATTTGTTTTGTATCTGCATCCTAAGTTTAAATACGTAGTTTTCAATATTTTTGAATGTTTTGTGTTTTTCATAAAATTCACATTAATTTTTGCTTCGTGTTTTTCAGACAAACTTCTGAAGATATTGGGTAAATTTTCTCTTATATCCCTTTACTCCAAAACACTTTAAAATGACTGCTTTCCTGATGTGTCTAGCATTTCCTGCCGTTATACTGATTGGCCAATTCATTGCTTTGCACTTCTGCTAGATGCCTACTAACCTAACACAGATTTCCTCCAGAAAACTTGATTCTATATTGTCCAAGTCAAGCTATTGTTCAACTATAATATACAACATGGCTACTGTAATCACGAGACATGACTTCAGGCAGGTTCTAAAGTAGGTTAAAGTTGTGAGTACATGAAACACAGAATTTAATCTGTTATTATTTTTATTTATTAATTATTATATTACTTAGCAAACAACTATAACTTTACTTTTGCCCCACCCTAAATTATACTTAGTACCGAAGAACTAGTAAAGCCAGAAACCACCCACCCCAAATTAAAAAGTCTTCAAATTGAATTAGGAATATTTTTATAAGGTAACTAACAGAACTGTATTTCTAAATTTTTCTGCTTAATTCACTATATTCAGACCTATCCTCCCTTTGAATTTTGGAACAATTGCGTCTGAGCAAATGAGAGCTTTCAGCCACTGTTCCTAATTGTGTGTGTTGTGTGTTCCTCTGAAACACAACAGGTTTGATGTTGCGTGAATGTTGTAGAAGAAATTGAATTTTATTCATATTTGTTTCCCATGATATTTACAATTTCACTTTTATCTTTCAGAAAATCTTCAGGAAAAAATTGGTAAGTTATTTCAGACAATCCTTTATTGCCAAATCTTTAAAAACAATCTGATGTCTTTAGCATTATCTGCCTTTTCCCCTCTTGACATTCATGGGCTCACCTTTCTTTTGGAAGTCTACTCCTTTTTCATCAATTATTTTTGTCTGTATTCTGCTCACATATTAAGTTCCATCTATTTATTTTCATAACTTCCATGTTTCCCAGTTTCTTCCCTTTTCCATGTCATATCTGTCCTTCCCTATAAACTTTGGCATTTTCTGCTTTCCAGAAACTTGCCATATTTACTGTGAATCTTATGAGGTGAAGAGGGTTACGCTAACAGGCACAAGATTTCCCCTCTGTATATACTGTCAGTAACATACCCATTAAAGTAGGACCTCTGCCATTTTTTTACAAGTTGCGAGGCCCATCTTAAGCAAACTGAGCGATGAGAGTAGATTCCATATGCGATGAGTGCATTTGACCCCTCCAACCGTCCTGGGAACATTTTCTAGGTTCTGATGTCATTCATTGACAAAGTGTGACTTTAGGCCCACTGTTTCACCTCCCCGGTGACCGTATTACCCATTGACCAGATAATTTTTGCAATATTTTTTGTCCTTTTTCTTTTCAATTACATTAAATGTTCTTTATTCGTTTGCATTTTTATTCGTTCAGGTATTAATTCACAACATTGCAAAAGATTTTTTTTATATTTGAAAAAGTATGTTACATCTTACGGAAAGTTTATGTGTGATGTATCTTTAGCTCAGAACTCTCTATGTGGATGACATGAGAAGCTGTTTGTCAGAGCATGATCCCCAAAGGTTTTTGCATGGAGCCCTGATAGAATCATTAAATGCTTTATGTCCTTTTTTTTCTAATGTTATATTTCATGTATGTTTTAGTTTAGAGACACAATGGAGTTTTGGAAGAGAGCTCCTTATGTTCATAAGCAGGATTCATGTGATTATTGTTATAGATACAGGTGTTGAGAGCAGGGTACTTACTATATAAAGGCTTCTGAATCACACTTTCAGTACCTGCCCCAGGTATGTGCACTTTGGTCATTTTAATCTGAAAAAGTGGAAGGCCAAAGATTGATATTGTTCATCCCAGAGGAAGTTCTCCTTTAGGTCTGTCATACTTTCATTTCCCATCTCATTCCTTTTGGACGAATGGGTACAGAGATGGAGGGTGACACTGGCTCTCATTGGTTACATGGACTTAGAATCCTTCGGCTCCACTTAGAAATGTGGGTGAGTTTCCATTAAAGAATAAACAGCAGAAGCGTTTCGCATTAGCATCCTCTTTTCTTCCTGACATTGACCCTTAATTATGTTTGAACTGTTTTTTCTTTCTTTCACTTTTTCAGATAAGGGAGACCAGGATAAAGGCAAGTCCCATGAATGTATTTCTCTTTGTACTTACTCATTGTCATGTGTTTATTTTTCATTTGTTTTCAACTCTGAGGGATCATCTTCCTTTCTACACCACACTCATGTACATCATTTTTTCATGTATTGGTAAGATTTCAACATAAGTTTACCATCTTCATTTGTTACTCAGTTTCCCCACTATTATTTCTCTGACGGTCCTGCCCTTGCAGTGCATGAAAATATTTCCTTTCGGACAAGAAAATTTTAGTTACTACTTTACTGTAAAATTTTGCTATTTTTATAGTGTAATGTTAAAGTTTTGTGCAATAGAGCACCAGACCATACAATGAAGATGGCCCCCACCACGCCTGACGCCAGGCCAGACAAAGTAGACCACTCACAGTACTCCATCCCTGACCAGCCATTACTGCCATTTAATACTTCATCTCCCTTCCCTCTGAATTTCTTAGGATAACCTTTATTCAGGCATGAGTTAAAATCAGGCTCACATACAATAATGTTATATATGAACCAGTTGACAGAACACTGGGGATAGACATATCCATTAACCTAATCTTCTTAACCAATAGGAGCAGTAGTTCAAGATTCGATGAATGACTGTCTTTGGCAGTTTTATATGGCCAGCTCCCACAATAGAAGAATTGACTATATATGTGTGTGTATGTGTGCATAATATATATATATATATATACTTTTTCTTTATCCATGCATATATAGAAGGACACTTGGCTTGCTTCTATGTCTTGTCCACTGTGACTAATGCTATAGTGAATATAGGAGTCCATATATCATTAGGAAGAAATATTTTTCAGATTGTGGGGAATAGGTATCCATAGAAGGTGTTATTTATTGGTCATATGGGATCTCTAATATTCATGTTTGAGGAACCTCCATACTATTTCCCACAGTAGCTGTACCAGTTCACATTCCCACCAGCAGTACATGAGGCTTCCCTTTTGTCCACAACCTCTCCAACACTTGTTATTACTAGTCTTGTTGATAACAGCCACTCTAACAGGTGTGAGGTGGTGTCTCCTTTTAGGTTTGATTTGCATTTCCCTAATGACTAGTGCAGTACAGGATCTTTTCAGATACCTTTTGGGCATTAGTTTGTATCTTGGGAGATTAAATACTGCCCTTTGGGGCAACAGGGATGGATCTTGAGAATATCATGCTGAGCAGACAAAGCCAAGAACCATATGATTTCACTCACATGTGGCATATGAAACTGAAAGCACAAAATGAGCACACGAGACAGTCAAACACAACCTCACAGAGACAGGAAAGCATGGAACAGACTGAGGATTCTCAGAGGCATGGTGGTGGGTGCGGGGGGACAGGTGGGATGGAAAATTAACCAAAGAACTTAAATGCATGTATGCATAGCCCATGGACACAGACAACAGTGTCTTGAAGACCTGGGTGTGAGGCAGTAGAAGAAGGGTTGAGGGTGGCAATAGTGGAAAAAAAGGGACAATAAAGACTAAAGCAAAACAGAACTCATAGACACTGACAGGGAAGGGGTGGGTAGCACACGATAAAGGAGGTGAAATATATGTCGAAGGAACTAGAGTTAACTTTGGGTGCTAAGCCCACAATGTCATATGCAAGTTATGTGTCATAGCATTGTGCCTTTAGTTCCACATAATTTTATTAACCAATGTTATCCCAATAAATTTAATTTACAAAAATTTTAAAAGAATAGAGATACAATATTAATAATAAAATAATAAATAATCTCAAAAGGGATCATTAAAAATTAAGGTAATTACCTGAATTAACATTCACATAATTTCCTCACTTCAGAGAATTCATTCATTTTTCCCTTTTAATTACCCAAAAGTGAGCTTTCAGCCACTATCTCCATGAAGACACTTGTGCGTGCATCTCTGTATGTATGTGTTTATTTGTTTTGTATCTGCAACTGAAGCTTAAGTTTACATACGTAGTTTTCTATATTATTAAATTTTTTGTTTCTTATAAAATTTGCATTAATTTTTTAATTTCTTTTCATATTTTTATTGATTAAAGTATTCAATATGAGCCCTTATCTCCACATTGCTCCCCATTCCCCCATTAATTTTTCCTTTTCATTTTTCAGATAAAATTCTGAAGATATTGGGTAACTTTTCTCTTATGTCCCTTTACTCCCAAACATCTTAAGATGACTGTTTTCTGATGTGCCCAACATTTCCTGCCTTTTTATTGATTGGCCAATTCATTACTTTGCACTTCTCCTAGATGCTTACTAACCTAACCCAGAATTCCTCCAGAAAATCTGGTTCAATATTGTCCAACTAACTCTATTGTTCAACTATAATGTACAACATGGCTATTTTAAATATGATATCTAACTACAGGCAGGTTCAAAAGTAGGATAAAGTTCAGAATAATCGGAGAATAATAATATTCTCAATCTCTTCTATTGAATAACTAGAGGCCTGGTGCACAAAAATTTGTGCACTCAGGGTGGGGGAGGGGGGCAGCGTCCCTCACCTCAACCTGTGCACGCTCTCAGTCTGGTACCAGTCGGGGGAGGTCCACCTGTTTGCTTAGGCCTGCTCCCCAGGGGATTGAGCCTAAGCTGGGAATCAGACATCTCTCTGGCAACCCGGCAGCCCTCGGGGGGATGTCCACTTGTCAGTGGGGAGCAGACATAAGCTCCAATCGGACATCCTTAGCGCTGCTCAAGAGGCAGGAGAGGCTCCCACCACCACCGCTGTACTGGCAGCCATCAGCCTGGCTCTCGCTGAGCAGAGCTCCCCCATGTGGGAGTACACTGACCACCAGAGGGGCAGCTCCTGCATTGTGTGTCTGCCACCTGGTGGTCAGTGTGTGTCATAGTGACCAGTCATTCCCAATCTTTCTGCTGTTAGGGTCACTTTGCATATTACCCTTTTATGCTATAGGATAGAGGCCTGGTGCACCAGTGGGGGCCAGCTGGTTTGTCCTGAAAGGTGTAGTGAAGGTACTGTCAATTACCATGTTTGTCTATTACTAGTTAGGATTATTATATTATTTAGCAAAAATTTATACATTTACTTTTGCTCCACTGTATATTATATTTAGTCCCAAAGCACTTGTAAAATCAAGCAACTCCCCCAAACTATAATATCTTCAAATGAAATTAATTATATTTTTATAAGGTAACTAACAGAACTGTATTCCTAATTTTTTTTTTTGCATAATTCACTATATTCAGACGTCTCCTCCCTTTGAATTTTGGAACAATTGTCCCTGAGCAAATGAGAGCTTTCAGCCACTGTTCCTAATTGTGTGTGTTGTGTGTTTCACTGCAATAAAAAAGGTTTGATGTTTTGCGCATGCTGTAGAAGAAATTGAATTTTATTCATATTTGGTTCTCATGATATTTACAATTTCACTTTTATTTTTCAGAAAATCTTCAGGAAAAAATTGGTGAAGTATTCCTGACAATCCTTTATTGCATTACCTCTAATAACAATGTGATGTCTTTAGCATTATCTGCCTTTTTCCCCTCTTCACATTCTTTGGCTCACGTTACTTTTGGATGTCTGCTCCTTTTTCCTCAATTATTTTAGTCTGTATATTTCTCACATATTAAGTTGCATCTATTTATTTTCATAACTTCCATCCTTCCCAGTTTCTTCTCTTTCCATCTCATAGCTGTGTTTCCCTATAAACTTCGGCATTTTCTGCTTCCAAGAAACTTACCACATTTACTGTGAATCTTGTGATGTGAAGAGGGTGCTAACAGGCACAGGATTTCCACTCTATATATTCTGTCTGTAAAATACCCATTAAAGTAGGAACTCTGCCATTTTTCCAAGTTTAAAGACCCATCTTAAGCAATCAGAGGGTGATGAGAGAAGATTCCATATGAGATGAGTGCATTTGACCCCTTCACTGTCCTGCCAAAATTTTCTGAGTTCCGATGTCATTCATTGACTGAATGTGACCCAAAGGCCCACTCTTTCACCTCCCTGGTGACCATATTCCAGGTCGCACAGACAATTCATATAATATATTCTGGCCTTTTTCTTTCCAACTCCATTAAATGTTCTTTATTCTTTTGCATTTTTATTCACACAGGTATTAATTTACAACATTGAATAAGATTTGTTATATTTGCAAAAGGATGTTACATCTGAAGGAAAGTTTATGTGTGATGTATCTTTAGCTCAGAATTGTCTATGTGTATGCCATGAGAAGCTCATTGTCATAGCATGATCCCCAAAGATTTTTTCATGGAGCCATATTAGAATCATTAAATGCCTTATGTGCTCCGTTTCTGATGTTATATTTCAATTATGTTTTAGTTTAGAGACACAAAGGAATTTGAGAAGAGAGCTCCTTATGTTTGTAAGCAGGCTTCATATGATTACTGATCCAAATACAGGGTTGATAGCCAGGTACTTTTACTATAAACAGGCTTCTGCATCAGACTTAAAGTACCTCTCTCAGGTATGTGCACTTTTGCCATTTAAGTCTGAAAAGGTGGAAAGTCTAAAGCAAGACCAAAGATTGTTATTGTTCATCCCATAGGCAGTTCTCCTTTAGGTCTGTCATACTTCCATTTCCTAACTCATTGCTTTTGAACGCATAGGTATTGGAGATGGAGGGTGAAACTGGTTCTCATTTGTTACATGGACTTAGGATCCTTTTTCTCCACTTGTTAGAAGTGTGGGTCAATTTACATTAAAGAATAAACAACAGAAGGGTTTCAAATTAGCATTCTTTTCTCTTCCTGACATTGAGCCTTCATTATGTTTGAACAGTCTTTTTCTTTCTTTCACTCTTTCAGATAAGGGTGACCAGGATAAAGCCAAGTCCCATGAAGGTATTTCATTTTGCACTTACTAATTGTAATGTGTTTATTTTGTATTTGTTTTCAACTCTCAAGGATCACCATCCTTACTCCACCACATACATGCACATCACTTTTTCATGTATTGCTATGATTTCAACATAAGTTTGCTATTTTCATTTGTTATTTGGTTTCCCCCATGATTATTTCTTTGATGATTCTGTCCTCATAATGTATGCAAACATTCCCTTTCTGACAAGAATATTTTAGTAATTACTTTTCTGCAAAATTTTGCTATTTTTAAAGTGTCTGATCTGAAAGTTTCATCCAATATAGCTCCAGGCTATACAATGTAGACCACCCATCCTACCCATCTCCAGCCATACAATGTAGACCTCTCCCCTTCCCCATCCCCAGCCAGCCATTACTGCCATTTAGCACTTCACCTCCCTTCCCTCTGAATTGCTTATGGTAAAGTTTATTCAGGCATGTGTTAAAATCAGGCTCACATACAATAAAGTTATGTATGAACCATTTTACAAAACATTGAGGATAGAGTTCCCATTAACCTAATCTGCATAACCAATAGGTGCAGTACAGGATCTTTTCAAATACTTGCTGAGCATCTATATGTCTCCTTGGAAGATGAAATACTGCCATTAGTGACAACAGGGATGGATCTTGAGAATATCATGCTGAGCAGACAAAGTCAATAACCATATGATTTCACTCACACATGGCATATGAAACCGAAAGCACAAAATGAGCGCACCAGACAATCAAACAAACCCTCACAGAGACAGGAAAGCATGGAACTGACTGAGGATTCTTAGAGGCATTGGGTGTATGTGTAGGGGGGTTTGGGGGGAGGACAGGTGGGCTGGAAATATTAACCAAAGAACTTAAATGCATATATGCAGAGCCCATGTACAATTATAATAGTGTCTTGAAGACCTGGGTATGAGGCTGTAGAAGAAGGGTTGAGAGGGTTAATGGGTGGGGGGGGAAGGACTTCTGTAATATTCTCCATAATATAGTTTAAAAAGAGAAAAACCTCATAGATACAGACAACTCTATGGTGGTTACTAGAAGGAAGGGGTGGGTAGTACAGGATAAAGGAGGTTGAAATATATGCAAGGGAACAAGATTTGACTATGGTTGGTCTGTCCACAATGGCATACACAGATGATGTATCATAGCACTGCACTATTAGTACCACATAATCTTATTAACCAACATCATCCCAATAAATTTAATCCACAAAAAAAATATTTAAACTACAGTAGACATTTAGTATTAATAATAAAATACTAAATAATCTCAAAAGAGATCACAAAAATATGTAAGGTCATTACCAGAACTAATGTTTGCATAATTTCCTCATTTCAGATAATTCATTTATTTTTCCCTGTTTAATTACCTCAAAGGGGAGCTTTCAGCCATATCTGTGTGTAGGCACATGTGTGTGCATTTGTATATGTATGTGTGTGTATTTGTTTATATCTGCATCCTAAGTTTAAATACGTAGTTTTCAATATTTTTTAATTTTTTTGTGTTTCTAATAAAATTTGCATTAATTTTTCCTTTTTTTTCAGCCAAACTTGTGAAGATATTAGATAAATTTTCTCTCATATCTCTTTACTCCCAAACACTTTAAAATGACTGCTTTCTGATGTGTCTAACATTTCCTGCCTTTTTATTGATTGGCCAATTAATTGCTTTGCACTTCTCCTAGATGCCTACTAACATAAGCCAGATTTCTTCCAGAAAATCTGTTTCAATATTGCCCAATATTGTTGCAACTGTAATATACAAAACTAGGGCCCAGTCCACGAATTTGTGCACCTTGAAAGGAACTGTGGGCCCTGAGGCTGTAGTAGGCAAAGGGGCAGTTCTCGGCCCATCCTCCACACCCCAGCCCGGCCCCTCCTGCCAAGGCCCCCAGTCTCCTGTCTGTAGCCAGCCCTGCTCCCGCTGACCCCACTCTCATGTGCTGGGGTGCTGACCCCTCTCGCACCTGCTGATTTCTTGGAGTGATTGTGGCCATTGGCAGCAGCGGGTGCAAGCAAGGCCAGCACCATTAGTGGGTGCAAGCGGCACCGGCTGCCCCGATCGCCCCTCAGGATCAGGGGGAGGTGGAGCAGCCCTCAGGGACAATCAGGGCTGGCAGCTGCCACTCGCACCCACTGAGGGTGCTGAGTGATCAGGGCCAGCACCAGGTGCTGGCAATGGGTGCGAGCAGTTGCTCTGACGTCTGCAGTGGGTACGGCCGTGTGGGTGCCAGCAGCAGGTGTGAGAGTTCAGCAAGACCTGCCCCTTTGTCCACCACAGTCTCAGGGCCCACAGTTCCTTTCAAGGTGCACAAGTCCGGGAGCTAAGAATTTTCAATAACCACCACAGATTCACTCTTGGCACCCCGCCTTAGTCTGGCGCCCCCACTCACCTACTCCACCATCAGCTGTAGCTGATGCCCACCATGTTTTGTGCATGCCCCCTGGTGGTCAGCACACATCATAGCGACTGGTTGTTTAGTTGCTTGGTTGTTCAGTTGTTCTGTTGTTCGGTCTATTTGCATATTAGAGCTTTATATGTTTACGAGAGGTCCGGTGCATGAAAATTCATGAACTGGAGGGGGGTCCCTCAGCCTGACCTGCCCCCTCTCACAGTCTGGGAGCTCTCAAGGGTGGGAGGTGACCCAGTGATCAGGGAAAGGCGACTCCCCATCACACCTCTGCTGCTGCCACTGCCAGCAGCACAAGCCTCACCTGTCCCTGGTCACCTGAGCCTCAGGTGGCCCTGGGTGGCTGGGCAGCCAACCGCTGAGGCTTGCCTGCAACTTGGGCTAGCCCTGGGTGGCTGGGGGGTTGGGGGGCTGAGAGGACTGGGGGAATCTGGAAGCAGGTGTGTGGCAAGGCCGGGCCCACCTCGGGGCGGGCCTGGACTTCCCACGTGCCTGCTGCCTGGGTAGGGAGGAGGGGAATGGGCACCACCATCTTATGGCTGTGGATGCCACCATCTTTGAGGGCAGGGCAGTCAACCAGCATATTCCCTCCTTATTGGCTATGAGCACTGCCATATTTGAGGGCGGGGCAGACAATTAGCATATTCCCTCTTTATTGGTTGTGGGTGCCACCATATTTGCGAATGGCAGTTTGTGAGGGTCAATTAGCATATTCCCTCTTTATTAGATAGGACTAGAGGCCTGATGCATGAAATTCATGCAAGAGTAGTTCTTTCTTCTCCCAGCTGCTGGCACCAGCTTCCCTCTGGCACCCAGGACCTGTGCTTTCCTTCAGCTGCTGTCAGGAACCTGGGACCTGGGCTTCCCTCCTCTGGCCACTGGCAGGCATCTGGGACCCAGACTTCTCTCGCAGCCCCGGTTTTGTCTGTAAGAATGTCTGGAAGGACATTCGGACTGATTAGCATATTACACTTTTATTATTAAAGATAGATAGATACCTCTGAGTCATTGGCATTTTAAGTGACTGGTGTGAACATTTAGTCCAACAAATGCTCAGGTCATTGGATTTAGAACTCGCTTTACTTATATTTATTACTTCATTTCTTTCCTTTCATGAGATTTAATGAAGATGAGCTGCATTTGGGGGCCTGAATTGAAATAGAAACCCACATAAAACAAAATTCTGTATTCATAGATTGACAAAAAATGTTCTGAATCAGGATACTCAGGCATTGAACTCTGTATTTTCTCTAGGAACAAGGGTTCAAGCTTCTCAGTTTTGCTGTTTTGGGCTATGTTATATACATAGCTATAACAAAAATGAGAACTGACTACATAAATTTAGTAGCAGCCAAAAACCATATTAAAGCAAGCACACTGAGTAATAAAAGCCTAAATGAAATTTAAATCAGTCATGTGCATTTTGAAAAGGTCACTACCAATATTATTATTCCTAATTTTTTTTCTCAATTTAGTAAATTCACTTATTTTCTCATTTTGGGGTAGAATATTCTCTAGCTGAAAGGGAGTAGCCATCTGTCACTATTGGTACCTTTATTTTGTATGCATGACGTATATACATGTATGTGTTTATCTACATCTGACTATGTTTAATATTATGTTCAAATTTTTCAAAAAAATTAATTTGTATGCTTGTTTTTTATTGTACTTTCACATATTTATGTCATTTTTATATATTTTTTATTTCAGAGCCAGAGAGATAGGTAGGAACATCAATTATGAGAGAGAATCATTGATCGGCTGCCTCCTGCATGCTCCCTACTAGGGATTGAGCCTCAAACCTTGGCATATGCTCTTACAGGAAATCAAACTATGACCTACTGGTTCATAGATTGATGCTCAACCACTGAGCCACACCAGCTGGGCTACAGAGATATTTTTATTTTATTTGCTGGATGATCTTAAGAAATTATTTCGTATATTTTTCTGACAACTCTATATCCCAAAACTCTTTGACTTATTTCTTGGTGTCTTTGCCATTCCCTGTCTTTTTCTCTATATGTTGATTTCCCTTTCTCCTGGTTGTACAATTTTCCACCCCCCATTTTTGGATATGAACGTGTTTCTTATTAACTTATCTCCATTTCTGTTTTGTTATCTTTCATCATTACTATTGCATCTTATTTGGTTCCATACCTTTCTTTC